CTTTCTTCGGTTTTGTCTTTTATTTTCGCTCTTTACTGTCCTTCTCTTCCAAATCCTCTTTTGAATTTGTCACAATGAAACTCAATCCCTTAATTTACATGAAATCTTCAGTCGTCTTTCTTGAATTCCCTCCTTCCTGCCACAACCAGAATTTCTCGTCTGGTCAAAATGTCAGCGTTAAATGCCGGCATTTATTCAGAAACAATCTTGTGTTGCGATTCCACACTCAGCTTTTTAGTCGTTGCCTTGAAAAGCCAGCGGGAGAAACACAGGTCGTTGGTATGTCGAATAATCTGCCCGCAGGACGTTAAGCAAACTTAAATAACACTAAACAAACAGCCGAATAAATAAAAAGATAAATTGTTTTCTTACGTAAGCGTTCATTTATTACATGTATCTGATTTGTCGTTTGAAAACATTTTAGCGTCAAACGAAATGGCAGTTTGCGGAAACATAAATTAGCTAAGAATTAAAAAAAAATAGGGTGTATCAAAAGTACGTTCGTTTTATAATTAACTTTTTTTTCTTGTATATCTTTTTGAGATTGAACAACCTTTAGGCTTTCTTAAGATATTTTGGGCATCCTAAAAAGGTTTATTATCGGTGAGCATAATTTTGACAATATAAAATACGGAGATGATACTGTATTTTTTAATAATCATTTCACCCCAAGTAAGGCAATAAAGCCACTAAGATGCAAGTGGTTACTGAGTGTGAAAGAATATGAGAAAAAGAAAAACTGGTCTAGTGCTTCGGCTATGTATTTAGAGATTCTTGAAATAATCTGCAATGTTATTGGTTCTGGCATGGCATGTCGGCTTCGGTCATTTTCTCACCACCGTAACTAGGCTTCTCTGTGCCTCTTCTATAAATACTTTCAATTGTTCTGATTATCTTTCTTCTTTGGTACGTAGACTTTATGAATTTAAGTGCGGTACTAGATTGGCGGCAAGGTCTCATCATTTTACAATTGAAATGGCTAGATGGAACCGTAAGTTCTATGCTAGCAGTTTCTTCTCCCGCATTTCGATTGTGGGAATTTCTTACCTCTTCTTGCTTTTCAATCAACTTTGCCCTTCAGAAATTTAAATGCAGTGTCAAGTGTTATCTTCTGTCTTCTTAATTTCTGTCCTTTTATTGCTCTCTCTCCTTAATAGTGTTTTCCCTATCATACCCATATATTGCAAGAAACATACGGGTACAATCTTTTTTTTTACCATATATATATATATATATATATATATATAGAGAGAGAGAGAGAGAGAGAGAGAGAGAGATCTCACATTGAGTGCTGGTATAAATAAGATAGTGCTCGATGTAATATAACTTATTATAACATTTATCATACATGTAATATAACACACACACACACACACACACACATATATATATATATATATATATATATATATATATATATATATATATATATATATATATATATATATGTTATAGTTTTAGGCCCTGTTTATTTTAATACATATTTTTAAACATTAACTCCGGTTATTTTAAATATAAAAATAAAACATTAATCCCTGTTTATTTTTAAATAATAAATATAAATCCGTCTATTTTTTTTTATTTTAAGCTATACAATCTATCCCATTACCCCATTTAAGAAATCCCTATCTCCCCTTGGGGTCTATTGGAGTCTGTATCTGGAAAATTAATTTCGTGCGCGAAACGTAAACAAAGTAATTTTAAGCAATTAATGGAATAAATATTATATTTAGTGAGTACAGGTATTTGACTAAACATAATTTTTTTTTTTTTTTAAATTTTGAAATTAATGTCAACTGGCCTCTAGATTGCAAGTATTATTATAAGAAATGTGTCCCTTGGCAGGAATTGAACATGTATCCTCTTGCATCGAAATGCATCTATTTAAGAAATGCACATCTTTCGTCAGGACATTCCGAAATCCATCTTTGCTAAATTTTTTCATATCCGTTGTGTAGACACAATAGTTTTTAAGCAATTATTGATTTTTTTTTTTAAATCAGGTATTATTTCTTATTACAATAAATGTTATCTTATTGGTTACCCGTGTTTGAGTAGACGCCCTGTTTTGCTTCTTTTTTAACTTAAACACTTGTTAGTGCTAAATATTCTTTTAGCATGATAGATTAAACCATGCTGTTCTCCTATTTCTATTTCCTTTTCTGGCTTTAGTATATATTCTAATTATATAGGAATAAAAAGAATAATCATCATCATCATCATCATCCTCGACTTTCGTAAGGCAGATTTGAATTCAGAAATCACACTCTTTTCGCTAACGGCCTATCAATGGCAGCCATCAGCAATTCTGATACAGTTATACCTGTCCATTGTTTGCATTGTCCAACCAGTTTTGCGTTGGCGTCCTCTCCTACGTCCACCTTCAACGATGCCTTGCATGATGGTCATGCATAGGCTGTTGTGCCTTGTAATGTGTCCAAAGCACGCCATTTTTCTCCGTTTGACAATGGCGAGAAGAGGTTTATGGTGTCCCACAAAACTTTCAACCATTTTCCGCACAAACTCATCGTTTTTTTGTTGTTTTTTTTTCTACCGCAGCCATGTCATGTTTGGCCAAATTGACAAGCATATGGAGGAGCAAAATCATATTTCAAACAATGTACAGACTACAAATCGTTGGTAGTCTCTATGCTCCTATATGAATGTGAAACGTGGACACTGTTGGCAGAAAGAGAGAAGGATCCAAGCGTTTGAGAACAAATGCATGAGAAAATTCCTTGGCAGTTTCTTTTGAGAATATAAAAATAATATGGTCTAATCCACATTGCAATTGGAATATTGGAAAATATCGGAATACCTTTTGAAACTTACAGACAAACATTTTCATAAATCCCACAAATGAAACAAAATATTTCTAGAGAGAATCATGCAAGAAATCTTGAACGACCTAGATCCTTCAATCTCTATCGATGGCAGACCCGTCTCTAACCTACGTTTTGCAGACGACATTGACCTCATGGCAGATAGTAAAAGTGAGCTCCAGTACTTGACCAACAAAAACTTTTTGAAAGAGCAGGAGTATATGGCATGGAGGTCAGCTCCGAGAATTCCAAAGTAATGATGAATAGCATAAACAGTGTGTTACTGTCAATATTACCATGAATGGGAATTCATTTGAAGAAGTGTCCAGTTTGAAATAGTTAGGAGCAATCTTGTCTAAAGATGGTACCGCAGACATGGCCAAATTAGCAAGAATATGGAGGAGCAAAATTAGCTTTAAAATTAAGTCCAGCCTTTACAAATCACTGAGCAGTCTCCATTCTTCTGTATGGATGTGAAACGGGGAAACCTTTGGCAGAAACAGAGAGAAGGATCCAAGCGTTTGAGAACATATGCATGAGAAAATTCCTTGGCATTTTCAGTTGGGAATAGAAAAATAACATGATTTAATCCACCATGTAATCGGAATTTTGAGAAAATATCGGAATACCCTTTAATACTTACAGACAAACATTTTCATAAATCCCACAAATAAATCAAAATATTTAATAAAAGTTTGTTAGAGTTGCATGGATAACACCTGAATAAATAATTAAGAAAAACCTACCTGTAAAATACCAAATAGTAACAAGACAAAAATATGTACATGTACGTTAAAGAAATCTTGGAAGTGACACGGAAGTTTATACAGATTTTTAATCCTGCCAACGAAGATAGACAGAGGTTATATATTCACTCATATTTTTTAATCATTTCACTCCAAGCAAGGCAATAAAGACACTAAGATTCAAGGAGTTACTGAATGTAAAAGAACGTGAGAAAGAGAAAACAATATTCAGGGGCGTAACAACAAAAGAACAGGAATTAAGAAAACAGAAGATAATGATTTACATTTCAATTAGTATTTTATGATCAACGTTGACTGGAAAGCAAGTGATCAGAAGAGAGATGTAGAAATGCGTGAGAAGAAACTGTTAGCATAAAACTTACGGCAACATCTGGCAATTTCAACTGTAAAAGGATGAGACCTAACCGCCAATCGAGTATTGCGCTTAACTTCATAAAGTCGAGTGACAAAAGTGGACAACTCACCAGAACAATCACCATGAAAATTTAGTTGTAAAAATGAAAACAAATACCCAGTACTGAGAAAATTGCCGAGAGAAAAAAACATTGGATACTATGAAAGTAAAAAATGAAAGAAACCCTAAGGAAGGAAGAGATTAACATGGGAGAAACTTGGAAAGAATTTAATGACTATTTGTTATCATTCAATATATATATATATATATATATATATATATATATATATATATATATATATATATATATATATATATATATATATATATATATATATATGTGTGAGAGCAGTAAAATGAAAGTGAGAACGCCATTATTAGAGTGGTATATAATCAAATAAATAAGCGATCCTCCTGGGGTCTTGACTATCTCCTAGGCCGGTTGCCACACAAGGCTAAAGAAAACAGTTTCTCCGGCTATTTATCCATAGCTGGGGGAAGAAGAGATGAATCCTAAGAATATTTTACGTAAGCGAAAGTTACGAACTCGACTAGAATTCGAACTCAGTGTTCGGGTTCCACAATCCCAGCCGCTACCCATTACCCAAACTTACCTCACCATGTATGTATGTATGTATGTATGTATGTATGTATGTATGTATGTATGTATGTATGTATGTATGTATGTATGTATGTATGTATAGGTGCGGGTGTCCCCACCAAAAAAGTGAAGCGGAAGCAGACATTGAAATTTGTTTTTTACGGCTTATCAACTCTTTGCAGTTTATTTAAAAACAGAAAATATTGTTAGATTGTAAGAATTCCGTGACAATATAATAATGGTTTTGTGATAAAAATCATAATAATCAACATTTACCTAGATGAGGTGGGGAGATGGACTCATACCTTTTCCAAGTCTATGAAAAATGAAAATATCGAACCCAACTAGAATTGGAACTTGGCTCTCCGATTAACAGTTCCGAGCCGTTATCCATGACACCATCCGCACATCCATGTTTACGACAACCTGTATTCCCAAACGATCACCCATCTATATACTGACGAGGCTCGACATTGCTTAACTTCGGTGATCGTACGGGAACCGGTGATTAAACGTGATGCGGCTGTAATCCAGCCCACTCTTCTGCCGTCTTTTTATATAAGCTTATTTGGTATTTACTGAATCCCCCCCCCCCTGACGATTTTGAATTCACTAAATCCATTTGAGTTCTTAGCTCTTTTTTTTAACTTAAAACTCTTTTCTTCTATGTGTCGTGTCCCTTCATGATGTGGGTGATCATGGCTCTCCACAATTTTCTGTCCTTTGTAGCTGCTAATAAACTGTGTCTTTTCGCTGTCTTACAGAAGCTTCTTATTCTCTGTGTCGTGCTCTTTCAGGATGTGAGTTATCATGGCCCTCCACAATTTCCTATCCCTTGTAGCTATTAGTAATTTTTTTTTTTTTTTTTGCTATCTCCTACTTTTTTGTTCTTCTAACCAATTACACAAGCTTCTTCTTTTATGTATCATGTCCCTTCATGACGTGGGTGATCACGGCTCTCCACAATATCCTGCCCTTCGTAGCTCTTAGTAAATTTTGTTTTTGGCTGCCTTTCCGAATCCCTGTTCCGCCAACCATTTACACAAGCTTCGTTTTCTGTGTGCCGTGTTCTTTTAGGGCGAGGGCTATCATGGCTCTCTACATTTTCCTGTCGATTTCAGCTCTTAGTAAATTTTGCCTTTTTGCTATCTCTCCTACTCTCTGTCCTGTCAACAATTTACGCCAGCCTCTTCTTGTTTTATGTTCCGTGACCGTAAGCCTTAAAATCTGTCTTATTGATGAGAAAATGAATATCATAAAATTTAAGAACTTGAATGGTTTAATAAACAAAAGGAATTAAATTATTTCGGACTATCGACGTGTTGACGCATTCCTTTTGAAAAACGTTAAAAGAACAAGAGATATCGGCGGCGCCTTACATAAACAGACGACTATTTTGAAAAAAAAAACTGCTATGCATGAAATATGCAATAAATGGGAAACTAAATAAAAATGCTAATTTTTAAGTGCATTACAAAGTACTTTTGAAAATATTTAAAACTAGTTTAAAAGCCCCCCTATCAGACGTCATTTAAGCTAGTTTCTGCGTAGGGCTCTTGGTTGGGCCTTCATTTTTAAGATTTTTGTAGCAAACGAATCAGCACATATGCTAAGCCACAAAAATCCCCTGAGCCAACCAAACATAGAAATAAATACAATATGGGAACCAATAATAAGGAGTGCCAGAGAAAGGCGATAATAACAACAAACATTGCAATATGAGTTCTGGTAAAATCATGCAATGATAACAACAAAAAAATTGCAATATGAGCACTAGTAAAAAAATGATGCTGAGACATTAGGCTTATAATGCCCAGAAATTCATACACAGATGTCTTCAAGGACACATGGCACAGTGGATAAAGGCGTTGGTTAGATCCAGTGAGTTCAATAACCGGTTAAGGCATTGGAGAACTTGGAGAGGGGAATTAATAGGAGATTATTGATAACTGACATCCATTAAACATGGCACGTGGAACTAGAACAGTCTACCCCAGTGAGCTAAATAAAGGGTTCAGTTGGACATTCCAACCACCTGAAGAAGGCCGGAACGTACAAAGGCCGAAACGTTGTAATGAATATGGCGACAAAGATGAGGACAATAGTCCGAATAATGTAAATAGTGTAGATAATTATTTAAAGACAATTTGATGTACGTAGGTCCTTGTTTTCCGTACAAACAATTATTTTTATTTCATGGTTGACTTTCGCTGGATTTTGCAATTAATTTCGATTATTCCCAAATCTATTTTCCAAGTTATAAACAATGGAATCGTACAAAAAATTCGTCGCAAAAAATCACAAGAAAAATCGTCAAAATCAATCGTATTAATGAAAACTTAGGAATCTAAAATTTCAGGATTGTGGGTCCGGATCCTGCCCAGAATGTTTTTAATTTGCTCACGGAGTTGGCCTGATTCCAAAATGGTATAATATGTTGGGCTACAGTCTCTAAGAGTAAAGTTGAAAAAGTGTGACACTGGGACACACTGACATTCGCATTGATTAAGCAAACTTATAATCGTAATATAACAGACAGCTTATTTCTCTCTTTCTCTTTCCACCCCTCTCTCCTTCTCTCTCTCTCTCTCTCTCTCTCTCTCTCTCTCTCTCTCTCTCTCTCTCTCTAATATATATATATGTGTGTGTGTGTGTGTGTGTGTGTGTGTGTGTGTGCGCGTGTGTGTGTGCGCGAGCGCGTGTGTATGCATGCGTGCGTGTTGTGTATGCAATGGTGTCAGTCAAAAACCGGTTTTCACAGGTTTTTTCAGTCTCTTAAAAGAAATGTTGGTTGGTTGATTTTGTTTAGCAACATATAAATCTTTATCTGCTTGAAAAGAAGATATCCGTGAACTCTCATATATATATATATATATATATATATATATATATATATATATATATATTCATTGTTGTCTTTGCTATTATTACTTCAAAACGCTTGTCCAATATAATAACGTTTTCAGTAATAAAAAGGTTGTAGTCAATATAAGTATACTAATTCTCTACAAATTACTTTTTTCTCCGAAAATAGGCTCTCGAGAAAAATAATCTGGGCGAAGAGGATCTGCTTTCCTTAAAAAGGGAATATGCAAGCTTACTTACTGTGATACTCTTCGTAGCCGAATGGTTAAAACTCGCCGGATCAAGCGGCGGTATCCTCTATAAGGAGGCTCACAGGTTTGATTCATGCCGGGAAACACATTTTCTTTGCTAAAATTTCACGAATGCGCATGCCGGCAGACGTAATAAACACTGTTTAAAAAATAAAAAATAGGGCGTCTATTTCAAATACGAATAACATTCGAAGTGATAAAAATGTCGGTTTAAAATACATCCATTAATTCTCATTACAGTTGGAAAGGCCATGGTATGAAAGATGAAAAATAAGTTTTTCAAGTCCACGGTTATCGCTATTTCCAGTACTAATGGGAGGCCTCCTTCCTTGCTTTTTGTTTGATGTAATGTGGAATGACAACATTTTGATTATGTTATTATTTTGTCTTCCAATTACATGTGATATCCGCTTGAGTTTTTGCTCCTGTTTAAAATCCTTAATGGATATGGTTTCTGTTATCTGATACAGTTCTTTCTTTTTGATTCTGTCTCGTCAGTCCACAAAGATCAAAGGAAGATGGTCCTTGCTAAGATAGACAGGTTTCATTCGCTCGAAGTCATTTTTACTCATTTACCTGAGAATGAGAAATTGGTTGGATACAGCTGACAGTTTAGATATTTCTGAACGGGGTCTGGCACCATGCATGACATCCATATGAAAGTCTTGAGATGATGAGGTTATTTGAGAACATGACTCGAGTTTTTAGCTGAAAGTTTTGCGGTTACTTCGAAGTATTGACCTGTGTGGGCCACTTCTTCGTTAATATTGAACGATGAATGGTTGTTACCTTTTAGCGCTCCAGTAAGTACCTAACTTCACCTTTACCCCAAGCAAGGCGGAGATGCCACTAGTACCCAGGAGGTTACAGGGAGTGAAAGTATGAGAAAAGATTGAGTATAGGGAGGATTGAAGAAACGATAAAAGATGAACAGGATTCAAGAAGACAGAAGATGGCGATTGACGTTGCATTTGACCTTTTGAAGATTAAAGTTATCAGAGAAGCAAGTAAACGGAAGGGAAGGGCGAGAAAAGAAACTCTTAGATAGAATTGGCGATTGTATTTAGCTATTCCCAAAATATACAGATGGGACCTAGATGCCAATCTAGTAACACTCTTAAATTCATGCAGTCTGGGCACCAGGGAGAATAGCTCGTCAGAATAACTTGTCCTCAAGGCACAATGGATAAAGGCGTTAGTTAGATCCAGTGACAGGACCCAAATAGTGTGAGTTCAATACCTGGTTAAGGCAGTGGAGAACTTGGAGAGATGCAATTAACAGGAGATAAATGACAACTGACATCCATTAAACATGGCACGTGGAACTAGAACAGTCTACTCTAGTGAGCGAAATAAAGGGTTCAGTTCGGCATCCCAACCACCTGAAGAAGGCCAGCGCGTACAGCGGTCGAAACGTTGTGATAAATATGGCAACAAAGATGAGGACAATAGTCCGAAAAATGTAAATAGTGCTCGTCAGAGTAGTTGCCGTGAAAATATTTTTAGAAAGAACAGAGGGTAGCCACGTCACGTTGGTGAGAAATTGACTGAAGTCGAGATGCCAGGTCAGGATCGTTTGCATTACTGATCCTTCTTTGGATTTTGTCAAGAACCTCGAGATGAATAGCAGGAGCACCGGACCAGATATGGCAACAGTATTCAATGCACGGACGAATGGTAGATATGTAAATGCGATGGACTCTGACGAGAAAATCCTTCTGGCAGTGACGCAGTGACCCAAGTTTCCTTGCAGTAGATGCAGCTATTGATTCGACATAGTCTCTAGACTTCAAGCCAGTTGAAAACGTGGGGCCAAGAAGGCGTAGTGTTTTGCTCTCCAGGAGTCTAGAGTTAGCTATGCTGATGGCAGGCAGAAAAGTTTCTCTATGACTGTCATATCTGGGCTGGAGCAGCACAGTTCTCACTTAAGTTTTGACAGAATTCAAAAGGGTCTACACGGTCTTCTGAGTGATTCTTTCCCACCCTACAACCACTTTCCCACGAACGAAATGTCGCAAGCCTTTCTCTAATGTTATTTCCATGAGAAATGCTAATGAGCTACAATCCCTAGTTCCATCTGTTCAGGCCTTCCCAGCTAAGACCCGCACACTGAGGCGAATAATCAATATTCCAGTTGGATTACTTTAGTAAGAAGGAATTTCCAAGAACCACTATTTTGGTGGAAGAGGGTACTTTTGGAGAGGATGTTTTCTAGAGCATTACAATCTTAACCGCTTCAAGTCTAGGGTTAACTTATTTTTCTTCTGTATTCTCATAAACTGCACTTCTTACCACATTGTATTGCGTTCATACAACAACCTAATAAATCATACAACAACCTAATAAATCATACAACAACCTAATAAAACAACCCTTTACCTAGAGTGGTTCTTGGGTCA